GGGTATGGTGACGGGGGAAGGGGGGTGTTTTTTGGGTATGGTGACGGGGGAAGGGGGCGTTTTTTTGGATATGGTGACGGGGGAAGGGGGCGTTTTTTTGGGTATGGTGACGGGGGAAGGGGGGCGTTTTTTGGGTATGGTGACGGGGGAAGGGGGGCGTTTTTTGGGTATGGTGACGGGGGAAGGGGGTGTTTTTGGGTATGGTGGCGGGGGAAGGGGTGTTTTTGGGTATGGTGACGGGGGAAGGGTTGTTTTTGGGTATGGTGACGGGGAAGGGGTGTTTTTTGGGTATGGTGACGGGGGAAGGGTTGTTTTTGGGTATGGTGGTGGTGGGGGGGGGGGTTTGGGTATGGTGACGGGGGGAAGGGGTGTTTTTGGGTATGGTGGTGGGGGGAAGGGGTGTTTTTGGGTATGGTGGTGGGGGGAAGGGTGTTTTTGGGTATGGTGACGGGGGAAGGGGTGTTTTTGGGTATGGTGACGGAGGAAGGGTTGTTTTTGGGTATGGTTGTGGGGGGGAAGGGTTGTTTTTGGGTATGGTGGTGGGGAAGGGTTGTTTTTGGGTATGGTGACGGGGTAAGGGTTGTTTTTGGGTATGGTGACGGGGTAAGGGTTGTTTTTGGGTATGGTGACGGGGGAAGGGTTGTTTTTGGGTATGGTGACGGGGGAAGGGGTTGTTTTTGGGTATGGTGACGGGGGAAGGGTTGTTTTTGGGTATGGTGACGGGGGAAGGGTTGTTTTTGGGTATGGTGACGGGGGCTGGGTGTGAGGAGGGCAAGACAGTAGCAACAAAGACGGCGTCTGGTTACAGCTGCCGGCTGACAGACAGCTGCTGACAGACAGCAGACACGCGCCTTGCGCCTCGCTCCACAGACCCATGGCCCCTTTCTTAAGCTACCGCTGCCTTCCTTTCCCCCCCACCACCACCCTATTCTCTTGTTTTGGTTTGAGAGAACATTGTGGCGGTGTAGGGAGGAGGAGTAGCAGCTGTCGCGCCCCCGGGGTGGTGAGGGAGAGGGTCACACTCACGCCTCTTGGTTAGTATCACCCAGTGCCCAGCTGCTACTCCTGTCAAGACATTGTTTACATCCCTCCTCAAAGATCCTTGCAACACTTCCTCGCGGTTACCACTTCCTGTAATACTTAGTGTTACATGTGTTCTTCAGTTTAGTGTTTGTAATTTTTGACTGTGTTAATATTTAGAATGGGTAATGTTGATGTGTAGAGGTTATGATGGTGTGGGCCACCTGGTGTGTGTGTTGGCCACCTGTCTTTAATCTGGTCAGTGATTGGTGTAAGTAATGAGGTGGAACACGTGGGACGGCCACTATTGGTCAAGACGGGGCTCACTCTGGCTGGTCATTGGCTACTCTAGCCAGACCTGGGCGCGTGCTGGGCAGGTGTCGCGCGCTAAAATACCCAGGTTGCCTAGTGCTCTGAATTAATTAGCATATTAGTACACCTTTCTCTTGTAATTTTCGCGGTAATTTGTGTATTTTGACTAACTGGGAAGAGGGAATTGTGGAAAGAGGACAGTTAAATTAAATGTTGTTCGAGTTCTTGCTAGAAGTTAAGAATGCGGGAGTTGATAGATGGCATCTGAGGTTGGAGCAGATGTTGAGGAGGACGAGTGGCTGGCGGGGGAAGATGATGGGTAGTTCTTCATCACTCCTGCCCTCGTGAGCAGCGGTCTCAAGGGTGTCCTCTGGCCTCACGTGTGTCTTAATGTGTCCTTGTGTCTCGCTACGCTCTTAGAAGCCATAAGGGGGACACAATGCTGATCTACCTGTCAGGATTCGTGATATCGCCGCCAGTCAGGTGAGCCCAGGAGGAGGATTAGTGGTGATTGATGAAGATTAAGCCACTCAAGAGGTGGCACGGGCATGATTAGCCCGTAAGTGGTAGTGGTGGTGATATAGATTCAGCTACTCGTTCCGAGTAGCACGGGCTATGGTGAGCCCGTAGTGGACTTACCTGGCACAGGAGCGGGGCTGAATGTGTGCCGGTAGTGGTGGTGGTGTTGTTAAAGATTTAGCTACTCAGGACGAAGTGTCAATGTAGCACGGGCTATGGTGAGCCCGTAACACGGTAGTGGTGGCTGTTGATCATTGATAACTCGTTCACTTTACTGGGTGTGGTGCATCCCGGCCTCGTATTGGAAGCACTGGATCGATTTCACACAGCTTTAAATACAGAACAGACATCAACGAACTAAACAGGGGAAAAGGAGGAAACCCCCACCTCCATTGAAAACTTTGATCCAAATATCACAGTAACGAACAGTTCCGGGTTCGATCCCCGGTGGAGGTGGAGACGAATGGGCAAAATGTTTTTTTTCACTCTGATGCCCCTGTTACCTAGCAGTAAATAGGTACCTGGGAGTTAGCTGTTATGGGCTGCTTCCTGGGGGTGGAGGCCTGGTGGAGGACCGGGCCGCGGGGTCAGTAAGCCCCGAAATTATCTCAAGATTAGACAAGATTATCGCGAATATCCGAACTCGATTACGGGCTCACTATATCCCGTGCTATGTAAACATTTCCTTCTGAGTAGGTAAATCTGTTGTTATAGATTCAGCTACTCGGAACAAGTTCCAAGTAGCACGGGCTATGGTGAGCCCGTAGTGGACTTACCTGACACAGGAGCGGGGCAAGTAGCACGGGCTATGGTGAGCCCGTAGTGGACTTACCTGGCACAGGAGCGGGGCAAGTAGCACGGGCTATGGTGAGCCCGTAGTGGACTTACCTGGCACAGGAGCGGGGCAAGTAGCACGGGCTATGGTGATCCCGTAGTGGACTTACCTGGCACAGGAGCGGGGCAAGTAGCACGGGCTATGGTGAGCCCGTAGTGGACTTACCTGGCACAGGAGCGGGGCAAGTAGCACGGGCTATGGTGAGCCCGTAGTGGACTTACCTGGCACAGGAGCGGGGCAAGTAGCGCGGGCTATGGTGAGCCCGTAGTGGACTTACCTGGCACAGGAGCGGGGCAAGTAGCGCGGGCTATGGTGAGCCCGTAGTGGACTTACCTGGCACAGGAGCGGGGCAAGTAGCACGGACTATGGTGAGCCCGTAGTGGACTTACCTGGCACAGGAGCGGTGCAAGTAGCACGGGCTATGGTGAGCCCGTAGTGGACTTACCTGACACAGGAGCGGTGCCGGTGAGCTAAATCTAAATCATCATCAACGAACTCTACATCCACTGTCATGTGCCAGGAACAATGGAACACTCCCTCGTTCACTGTTTCCCACACCATAATGTCAGAGTAAACGTCAAACAGGTAGTTATCGCACTTAAAATACCAATTACCATCGAGCATATATTATTAGGCGACCTCTTGTTACTGGGAAAATATCAGATAGTCAAAGCACTGGGTAAATATCCCCAGTTGACCAACACAAACACATTGGGCCACATTTGTCACATTTATACCTGGCGCCAACAGCAGCCAAACACAGGAAACAACTGCCTGGTCGTAGACCCAAGGATCAGCTGACGCCATAAACACAACCCCCCCCCTACAGTGTGGCAAGTCTCCCTCTAACACACACCCTTGTGTAGTCGCCGCTCCTCTATCTACACCACAACACAACAAACACTTTAGAAACTGTCATTGTCAACATTTGTACTCGTGTAGTCTTCTTGAGGTTATTTTAAGATGATTTCGGGGCTTTTAGTGTCTCCACCCCCAGGCCGGTCATGGAGTCATTATGGAGGATAAACCCTTCATGCACATTGCACTACCATCAAGAAGACGAATCTATTTCCTTTTATAAGCAACTTAAGTTATAATGGTCTTCAATAGTACTGTAATACCATTGGGCATTAACTGGGGATGTGAGTGGAGGTTTAGGGAGGGATAGATGGGGGTAGAGGGGGCGGCCCACCTGCCCAGCACCTGGTGGTGTGGGACGGGCCAGGGGGGCTAGCGACCCAGGTACCTGGTTGATAGTGGTAGTGTTGGTGGTAGTAGTAGTGGTTGTGGTGGTGGCGGAACATGATGGGTCGTCATGCCTGCCTCCAGGTATCATAATGCTGACGCCTCGCGGAGTACCCTTCCGTCACGTTAACTCTGCAGTAAGACAACGCTGCTCAAGATTTATTGGAAGGTAAGCGGCGTCTTGTGTGCAGGCGAGGAGTCACAATAACGTGGCTGGAGTATGTTGACCACACCACACACTAGAAGGTGAAGGGACGACGACGTTTCGGTTCGTCCGTTTCATCGACTTGAGAATGGTCCAGGACGGACTGAAACGTCGTCGTCCCTTCACTTAATAGTGTGTGGTTTGGTCAATGTCTTTGTGTCTTGCTCTCATAACATGGTTACTACACTCATGACTTGTGAAGTGTATGTGTGCAATTGATATTTTGTTGGGTTTTGGGAAATGAGCAGATGAGGAGGGTGATGTTGCCACCTCTTGTATGGCACTAGATGGCACTGTGCCAATTACCTCCTCCTTCCCCCCTCCCCTCATTATATTTAAGAGCAAGTTACATATTTCCGTTAACAAAGAGTCCTATGTATATATTTTTAGTAGAGGTCCGGTGGCGGGTTTGGTGCGTGGAGGAGTGGTGGTGGTGCTGGCTACATAATTAGTGAGGTGGATGGATGGGTGTGTCCTGGTAGACCGGCAGCTGGGCCACACGTGATGGGTGTGGCCCTCCCCCCATGTCACCCCCCTCCCCAGGTCACCCCATGACCCCCTCCCCCAGGTCAACCCACTGCCCCCCCCCCCAACTGGTTCTTTACCTAATTCAGGTTATTGGGTGGTTTTATCCTCTTTTTCTGGCAATTAAGTCATTGTGTGAGTTAGGTTGTTAGTCGACTTTTGGCATATTTTGTATCGCATTTAACGTTGTGCGTTTTCTTTGGGTTGGAATAATATGGCGTTTATTCAGTTGGCTGGTATGGGGTTAATAGACATTTTGTAGGTTCATTGATTCTTTTGTTTTGTATAAACACGTACAAATAACGCATGGAAGGATTAACATGTCTTTTCTTGTTACAGCTCGCCGGTGAAGAGTGATCGGCCGTACAGTGGTAAGGGAGTGCCAAGTCGGGGCTTTGGCACTGGCATCACCAAGTCTTATAGTGTAGAGAGCTCGGCGCCCCCCGTGCCCCCTCACCATCTTCACCATCTCCACCATCACCATAATGCCACCCACAGTATCCGAAGATCACAGGTAACTATTTTAACTTGTCGTTTGTACTTCTCGGGTACCTAGATGGTTTTATCCTCATTGTTCATCGTAGTTTAGTTATGTTTATATATAAAATAAAGTTTGAACATAAGAACATTTGGATGGATAAAGCCAAAAATATTGGCTTCGTATGGGCCAATATTTCTTCGCGGTTATGCAGGCGAGGAGTCACAATAACGTGGCTGAAGTATGTTGACCAGACCACACACTTGAAGGTGAAGGGACGACGACGTTTAGAACATAAGAACAAAGGTAACTGCAGAAGGCCTATTGGCCCATACGAGGCAGCTCCTATTTATAACCACCCAATCCCACTCATATACATGTCCAACCCGCGCTTGAAACAATCGAGGGACCCCACCTCCACCACTTTACGCGGTAATTGGTTCCACAAATCAACAACCCTGTTACCGATCCAGTATTTACCCAAGTCTTTCCTAAATCTAAACTTATCCAATTTATACCCATTGTTTCGTGTTTTGTCTTGTACCTGATATTTTAATACCCTATTAATATCCCCTTTATGTCCATTAATCCACTTATAAACTTGTATCATGTCACTCCTAACTCTTCGCCTTTCCAGTGAATGCATTTTAAGTTTTGTTAATATCTCTTCATATGAGAGATTTCTAATTTGGGGAATTAACTTTCTCATTCTACGCTGGACACGTTAAAGTGAATTTATATCCATTCTATAATACGGCGACCAAAACTGAACTGCATAATCTAAATAGGGGACCAGATATAGCTGAAGAACCACACCAGGTGTCTTGTTACTAACGCTTCGATTAATAAATTCCAGTGTCCTATTTGCCTTATTACGAACATTCATGCATTGATCTTTTGGCTTTAAATTCTTACTAATCATAACTCCCAGATCCCTTTCGCAATCAGACTTCGCAATCTCAACACCATCCAGCTCGTATCTTGTAACTCTATCATTACCTAGCCTCAGAACTTTACATTTATCAGCATTAAACTGCATCTGCCAATCTTTTGACCATTTCAAAACCCTATTTAGATCAACTTGAAGTGATAGAGAGTCTTCTTCCGTGTTAATTTCCCTACCGATTTTTGTATCGGCAAATTTGCAAATGTTGCTACTCAAACCCGAATCTAAATAATTTATATATATATTATAAACATCAGAGGTCCCAGGAAAGAGCCTTGAGGCACTCCACTTACAACATTTTCCCACTCTGACTTAACCCCATTTATGCTCTGTTTTTGGTACAGCTATGCCCTAATCCAACTTAATAGAGCACCCCCAATACCATGGGCCTCTATCTTTTTAATCAGTAATGATCTAAGGTGTGGGCGTGCAGCATACAACATAATTTACACTCCTTATCTTTGTCACTGACAAACACAGTATTGCAAGATTAATAGTTGTTCAGAGGCAGTCTTCGCTATCTCATCAACTGCCTCATTCAACAATATTCCCACTTGTGAAGGGATCCACATGAAACTTACTCTATACTCATATTTTTCCTAATGTCTTAATATTCTCTCTACACTCACAATATGCCGAGATACTCATCTGCCATTTAAAGATTTCACCGCTGTTTGTTTGTTGTTTTAAGATCGTTAAGATGCTATTTAGAACAAAAAGTTCCAAGTAGCACGGGCTAAGGTGAGCCCGTTGTGAACTTGCCTGGGTCAGGAGCGGGGCCGTAACTTGATTTCACCGCTCCTCTACTATCTTATAAATAAAGGCATCTTTATCACATTTGGCTACTTCCGTTAAGCCTGCTAATACACCTCGAGTTCAGCCCACGTTGAAGAGACAGTCGGTTAAGCGGCGTCCAACATAAGTGTCTACAGTGCCGATGTTGTATACTCCGTGATCAAGACTCCGCAGCCTGCCTTTACATCTCTAGCTACTGAAACATTACATTATATATGTAGTGTAGGTAATTTTCTAATTATACAATCATATGTTGCCCACAGCTCTCCTATCTCATACTTAATACTTTCTTTTGAAAGGGGAATAATTACTACATCTACGTTACATTCCTCCCATGTTGGTGTTAATTGGTTCTTAGTCAATGCAACACATTCTTGAATGACATCATACTTAATAACATTAGAATATAAGGTTCTCATATATACTCTCTTATTACACTTATAACATATATTATTATATAACATATTGTACCATATATTATTCAATATTTCCCACATTTTGAACAAAGAGGATTAATTCATTAACTCCCCCGCCTCTTATTAAGCTAATCGCAGAGGCTACATTTATCTCCGAAATTCTATCCCCAATACTATGTAGCTTCAATTCCATCCTCATTATCATTGGCAGACTCGCCCAAAAGTTATGACTGACTACTTGTCTGTTTAGAATAGTCAGGTATTGCCCTCCCTTCCTTTGGAACCCTGTCCTTAAATATTCTAAATACATCTTTCCAGATTATTATCTCATCTGCAATGAGAAGTGAATACATTGACAACACTTACCTGTAAAGAAGACATTACTTTGTTTCGCAAAACTGACAAACTTAGACATATTTGTATGTCTAAGGCTATCCTAGAAGAATATGAACTGAATGAAAACATAGAGGATGTTTTATGTTTGTTCGGATACCTTGTGGATCTGTTTGTTGTTGTTGTTGGCCTGTACAAATGCCTGTATTTACCCAGGTCTTTTCTGAATCTAAACTTATACAATCTGTATGCATTGCTTAATGTTCCATTTTGTGTCGACATATTTTACGCCCTATTAGTATATCCCCTTTGGTTCATTCGTATACGTCAGTCTTATCGCCCCTTACGCTACTTCGTCTTTCTAGATAAATCCTGGAATTGTCATGAACATGTACATAAAAACATAAGAATGAAGGTAACTGCAGAACGCCTATTGGCCCATACGAGGCAGCTCCTATCTATAACCACCCAATCTCATGCATATATGTCTAACGTAACATAAGATTTAATTTATCGTAGTAATGCAATGAATTTATCATGCTCTATATTTTTGTCTCGCGTAGATTAGTCGCATATTACTTGATTTAATACATGTCTTTAATTGGAAAATGGTGAGCAAATTTCTCACTAGTGGTAGTAGGCTATGAAAACATCAACAACAGTTCAAGTGTACGTCTGTGGCTAGATTAATAGCATATATTTCATGTATATAATATATGTGGAATGATCAGTTACTTTACGGGCTATTCATGCCCGTGCTACCTCTTGGGTGGCTTAATCTTTATCAATCAATCCGTTAACTGTGTTAACTGTTATTGGCCTACAAGGGAGGTGGGGGCAGGGAGTTTTCTCCAGCCGTCTTGAACGCAGCCTCGTCTTTTGTCAAATAAATTGAAGGAAGGCTCATTAGTATATAAATTTAAATTTTGCCCCGAGGGGCGAGTTTATTGGGCAGCGCCACTCATCTTGTGAGTGGACATACCGCTCATTAGTATATAGTTTATAACAAACAAATTATCGTCTGTTATTTACGTCGTGATTTCGGCAAGATAAAAGGTGAATATTGTGGTAGTTGCAGCAAGCAGTGTCGCAGAGCAGCGGTGTTGGGACCAGCGGTCGACGGCAGGTCCCGCGGGGCACTGCAGCCGACGACAGCGGTAACCGCAATAGTCGATGGCGGGGCAGCGGCGCCCAGGGCAATACCCAGGGGTATGAATTGTCACAAGATTTTGCCGACATGCGACTCGAGATGCTGGAGCGCAGGTATATACATTGTCGCACGTCTTCATAATTATTGCTCCTGTTGTAATTACTCAATCATATTTGCTATTTTCTGAATTGTCATATTTTCTTTGTTACACTCTAGGTTGAAATCTTGTCGGAAAATAGGTAATTTAACTTTTGTAATGGTTGTTGTATAGTCTGCCTGGCTTGACTTTTTGGGTAATTAATTCCATATTTAGCAGTCAGATAGGTTGCAGTCTTCCACTTCGAAGACTGCAACCTTCGAAGTGGTTGCAGATCTGGGGTTTGAGGCTCCAAGGGCGCAAGCGAATGAAATGTTATATTTCCTATATACTGTAGCTATTTTATGTTGGCAGGTATGGTGGTGTGGTGGCCCGACGAGCAGCCATCACTATCCAGAGGGCATACAGGCGGTATGCGATGTACAAGAAGTTCCGCTCCATCACCGCCACAGCCAAGGCCCAGGAGAAGCGGCTCTCCCGAAGGTTTACGGTCGACGTCCCGGAGTGGTCGGACTCCTCGGGTCAACAGTACCATGACACTGAACACCTCATCCGTTCAGAGTTCGATCAACTGCATAGAAACTTGAGTGCCACGGGTGAGTAAGGCAAACTTTCTGAATGGAGTGCTTAGGTAACAGTTCCTATTGGGAGGCCAGGTCTACCCTTTTATGCCTGCCTACTACCCTTGCTGTATCTGGCACAATGTCATTTTACTGATGTTAGTTTGTTATATCTGGTCTTAGTTTGTGGATGGTGGTGGCTTCCACTTCTAACAATGCATTTCACTTGTTGTTTTCTAATTGTGCTTATTACACACCAACTTTCAACTGAATTAATTTTACACTTCCTACCATCTCTCTCTAACATGATGTACTGTAATTTCATTGTACAGGTTTGGAACATTGCCCAGTATTTTCCATGTGTATTATGAAATATTGCCTTGTCAAAATTTGCCTTGCATAAATTGCTGCACAAATTGTTTTAAGTCTTTAATTAGATTTTTAAATGCTGTTCTAATGTTGGTCATGCATGTTGCCAGTGCTATGCTGCTTATGCAGTACATACCTCTGGAGCTTGTGTTGGAATTATATCCACTTGAATGGAATTTTCTTTTTATATTCCCATGCCTTCCTCTAATGGTGTAAATTTCTTTGTCTCCTATCTCCATTTCTCATCTTCATTATTATACACTTGTTAGGGTTGAAATCTAAGTCATTTGTCTGTCTTCTACTGGAGTTTTATCAAGGTCTTCCTGTATTTTCTGCAGTCCCCCTTGGCTTTTATATTTAGGGTATATTCCTCTTTAGTGATGTTTCAGAATTTATTGAATCGGAATCTAATTTTCATTTGACTACCCCTGTTTAAGTATGGAATAACTGGAGAGCAAATGTCTAACATCTAGAAATTAGTTTGCCTGACCAGTTGTAACCAGTGTGATTTAACAACTAGAAATGCTAGATGTACTTGACCACAAATACTGGTTGTCAGGTTCCTGCAAATGCTCATGATGGTATATATATATCTACTGTAGTTACCTTTTTGATAATACCACTGAAAGACTCATTGTTCAAGCACCTTATCATTGATGCAGAACTGTAAAATCTTCCCAATTGAAAATACAGTAGCTGGAGATAAAGTAGGGTATGCAACCTTAATTTTAGTTTGCTGGGATCTGCAAAAATTCCTATGGTATAATTTACAAATTTGATTTTAATGATCTTACCTCAAGTAGAATTAGTACCTCTAGGTAGAATTGGTAATTCCAAGAATCACCACCCTTGTGGTCCCTGGCCTCTTGATAGGTTTTTCAAAATACACTTAAGCCAGTATACTACAGTACTTTATTTACCTTTAGTGAATGAGTGATGAAAAAGAGTATGGATCATTCTTCTAATTTTGTGCAGACATGAGTCAGGGTATGCCACTTTATTTCTTGTTTAAATTACTTTTTAAAGAACTTTGTTAAAAAAAAAAAAACTTAATAGGTGTTGCTCTTCCAGTGTATGGTGAAGGCAGACGGCCAGCACGGTCACTGTCTATGCGTGACACACCACGCACGACAGTCTCTGTCACAGCCTCTTCCACCAGACAACAGCAAGACCCATATGATCTTCATGATGCCCTTGCTTCAATGAATGACAGTTCATTATACTGCCATGTGTCTGCACAGTCGCCCCTCACGCCAACATCCACAGCAACGCCAGCGCCCACGCACGTCAGGAATGGCTCGGGGGACTACCAGGGTCAGCAAAATGACCGAGACCTTAAGTACTTCTCTTCAGAGGACAGTGGTCTTGTAAGTGCCCTCACAGTTCAAGGCATTCTTCTAGACATACACCTTATCTATTCATTGTACCAGACTAATTTTTTAGTGCTCTGGTTGTATATAATTTACTCAATTCTGTATCCAGAAAATTTACATTGCCAGTAGGGCTTTAGTGTCCCACTTGTATTTTTGGTAACAAATTTGTTCTATATACAGTATTATTATTTTAGATCTTATTTGAAATTGGTAACTTTGTACCTCACATTATTGTAGACTGTGAAACATTTGTGGTTCATGTACTGTGTGTGACTAGTTTCACTATTTAATAAAACAAATTTGGTTAAATTGTAATTTTTTAATATAGGGGAGTCAAGATGGTATAGGTCTGAATCGCATTGGTGTTTGTGGTCGCCGTACTATGCGTGGCAAGAAGGTTCCTCCAGAAGTACCCCGCCGCACGTCTTCTATAAAGTCTTGTGAGAGCAGTGGAAGTAATGACAGGTTAGTAATTTAGACCTCTAATTGTATTTGAAAATCATGATAAATTTCTTATGAACCTGGAAAGTTATTATATTAGGATTCCTTGTAGCATTGTGCTTCATTGCAGCAACATAACTCATTTATTTTTCTGTAATGTTTGATTCCTCTTCATATACAGTACTTGAAACTCGGTGCTTAATTATGATCGTAACACTAGGATTCATTTTGGTATTGAAGTTTACTTCCAATGGATTTTTTATACTCTAGATATTATTAGTAAATTTTACCATCAGGACACCAAGTTCTGTAACTAATAGTTACGGTCCTTGATTATCGCGGCATATGTTTTCATTGATGAATTGTTACTTTAAACTAGTGACTAGTGTAAGCTAAATTGTCACCAGTATTAACTGCAGTGCCACTCTTGCACCCATTCAGTTCACTAGTGTGTACGATAAAATGCCTTGAATTAGCAAAGAAACTTAAAAAAAACTGTAGGATGTGTTGCCAAGAGACATAAAAAAAATTAGACTTTATTTTTTAAAATTAAAAAAGTTTTCCCATGTGATTTTATCAAAATATACTCGGATGCATATTTTATCACTAAATGTGACAAAAGTAGGAAAAATGGCGCACATCCTCCCTGTTGAAGGTTCTGTAGCCGATACATCTGAGCAACCTTGCTGCATAGTTCACAGCTGAAGAGGTGTTTGTAACTAATTACCAGGGAATACCTTCAAGATTAGATGTAATTAATATTATTCATAAATTTAATTACCCTATATTATGTTTAAAACATTGGTGATTGATGTGATGCTCCTAAGAACATAACCAAATTATTCGTAAGTGCCCAAGACGTCCTGAATAGCGTAAAAAAAGTGTGTGAAACTTGTGTAGTATCTACATTGTTGTGTGGCCACCTTTCACCCCCCCCCCAGACAAGTCACTTTGTACATGTATATATAATATCTTGAACGTAAAGCAATAAAATATTGGTCCAATAAATAGCACAGGCCCAATAAATATTGGGCCTGTGCTCAGAATACACAGTCAATTAGTTGCAATTGCTATTTGTGCAAATTGTATTTTATTTTGTTTTACTGGTTTCACCAGCTTTCAGAGATAGGTTTCTTATTTTTAATATATAAAGTACTGTACAGTATATGTATTAAGTATAGATTTGCATAAATTTGTTTGCAAAATTGTTGCAATACAACTACTGTATTTGGTACAGTGTTACAACACTCTCAAGTGCCACACATAGACTCCAGTGCCGCCCCCCATCCCTAACTCCTCCATCCTCAACTCCTTCGTCACTCACCTCGGAGGGAGGTCACAGTGACACACGACCACTTACAAGGTTATAACAATTTTGTTTTTGGGTTACTTATGAATTACTGAGGATCTTGCCTAAATGTCATTCATTACTAAACTACAGTACCTTTTGTGTATAATTCAGTAAATAAAATATACAGTATTTTACTTTATATTTTTGATGCACAGTGGTATTTTAAGTTCGTGTGTGTAGGGAGCTGATACATCAATATGCCCAGATAATTATGATGGAAAACTATCATAGTTTTTAATTCTTATTTAAATAGGTCTGTGGACAATGGATCCTTATCGAGTGTACAGTCCTCGGGGTCAGATTCTTCACTTTCCCAGTCCGCTTCGGACCGTGCTACTCCCCTTTCTACTCACGACCCAGTTGATAATGCAGACTACCATCCCACATCACCAATATGGAAACGCAAAAATCAAGTAAGTCGCAACTGCTGCAACATGCTGTATACTACAGGTATTATACACGTGGATGTTTTATATCTTCAATTTGCAATGTTATTTGTAAGACTTGTAACTTAAAGCTTTGTGAGATGTCATATTGCATACTTATCTTGCTGCATTCTGTTTTTTAGTATTTTCTTTTAGACTGAATTTGTTGCTATTTTATATTATATACTTTTATTAAATATTTAATAATTGCAACAAAAATTACACCTATACTCCTATACAGTACTGTATTTAAAATGCATTTAGTAAATAGGTACAAGTCACCTGCATTGTCTGTAGTTAGCTTTCATGCATCCATTTTTAGTTAAATGGCTTTTTATTTTTACTTTTTTTCGTATTAAAGAATGCTAGCTTTAGATTCATAGATAATAAAATCAGTGAATATAGATTTTATCCTCCCAGCTACATTTAATATCTGAGTTTTCCTCTGAGGCTCCCTAGATTGTAAGTATGTGTAATCAGTTCCCAAAATTAAGAAAAGCTTGACACTTCCACCAGCAGATGAGCACAAGCGACGTCATCTGCGACGATAAGCGGTTGAGCCAGATCAGCGAAAACTCAGAAGATTCCCTGCAGTCCCATTCCTCTGAGGGAATGACCTATTCCCAAACCATGCCCTCACAGACCCCACACTCGGCACGCTACGCCCATGCTCAATACACCCACACTCCTCACATGCCCAAGGTAGAGTAGACTTCCAGTTCGGTTGGTATTGCTTAAGGCTACAGAGACACCGGTTTGCAGTATTTTGTTTTTAGACTTTGAATGCTATTAATTGCATGTCACATACAATGTGATGTGATAGGAGTAAGTTGATTTTTAAGCATGAAAGCTGGTTAATATGAAGTATGTATCTATGTCGGAATGTTAATTTTAGCAACTTTAGGTACAGTACTGTATTGTATTGTTTCAGTACAGTACTGTATTTGTAGTACTGTACTGTACTACTTAGAAAACTTCTGAAGTTCTTTCAGTACTAAGAATAAAAAGATTTTAAGTGCAGTAGTTTAAAACCTAGCATTAAAAGCTTATAACGTTTGTATTTCTAAGCACTACCTTGAATTTGAGATAGTGGTTATGTCCTTCATAGATTTCTCTCCAGAGAAATACACTGCTGCTGATCTGACATTTGATATGAAATACAGTATTTGTCTCGGCTCTGTGGTGGAGGTTCTGGAGGCAACCACCTCTGTGGCCCAGTCCTTGACGTGGCATTCTGGTCAGAATTTGCAAGCTGATAACAGGTACTTCATGAGCAAAGTATTTCATACTTGGGTTTAAAAATGCTATATTATGCATGATAGGAAATGAGAACCCACTGAACCAATACAAAAATTTACTGGTAAAATAATACTAAATGCTGCAGTATAGTTAATACTGAAAGCATTAATTACAAATTAATATCTGCATTTTGGGGACATTTTGAAGTCCCCTGGTTCAACCAGGGTAGTCCTGGTCTCCTGTCATGGAAATTTTTTTTTCCATGAGAGGGGAACTTAATAGGATAAACTCCATAGAACCCCCACAGGAGACACTACAAGTGTTACTGTGCACAGTTTCTCTTGTTTATAGTGATCTCTTAAAGAATCTTGTGGTCGTTGATGCTGCAGCTTAAGATACAATACAAAACCATCATAAAGCAGTATAAAAAGCAGTCATTAATAATGAAGGTACATTACTGGAGCATCTGTAATATTCGCTACAAGAAGATTATTTTAGAAATAAAGAGGTAAGGGGGGATACTGGAAATGCTCAGATTATTTCATAAAATTGGGTCATTAGGTTTGTCCCATTATGAGTGTGAGCGTTTGAACAAGTACAGTAATTGAAGTTATAAAAGATCATCACAGGTGCTTACCTAGAAATGGATAGCCAGACCTTCAAAGTTTTTGCTCCAAAGACAGCTCCAAGGCTAATATGGATTTACCAACCAGTAAATGTGCTTGTTTTAAGGTCTCTTGTAGAAGTGGGCCAAATAGAAGGCCCACTTCCACAAATTGATGCGTGAAACGGGGTTACGAGTAGTATTATATAATAGTTTAGCTAGCCAGGCTGAACATAATGCTGCACATTCACTAGAACTATGCTTTAAGAAACGTGTGCAGCTTAGTGACAATTATCAATGGTGGGCATATTCATTAGTATTGCACGGATTGGGCATCCTTGCATGGCTTGCAAAAATAGTTATCCAGCTGTAGTGTGTGTGTGTGTGTGTGGGGGGGGGTTATGTTGTGTGTAATTGTTTAAAAATTATGTACATGTAGAGTAATTAATTACCTTTGCTGTGCTTAACCTTTTATGCTACAAAATTTAGCTATACAGTATTTGCCAGATTCATAATGGTCTGTTGACTGAATTGATGTATCAAATGTACCATTTTACTGCATAAAATTCCAAAGTGATTGAAATGTCTCGAGTGGAGTCTTGGTGTGAATGTCTGGTCATTTTCTAACTGGTTGCAAAAAAATATATATAGTATATAAATTATTTGCTGGTGAGCAATGTGGTGGTTTTTGCAACCAAATCTTAACAAAAACAGTATAGTGAAAGTTCTTAAAATGTGAAAAGACTTCAAAATACTAATGTCCAAAATCTGATTTTTAGTTCAAATCATAATTATATTTTAGCTTTTTTTCCATCAAATGGATATGAAAATTTCCTATAAATGATGAAACTCGCTATACTGTACGTTGAGGACCGATTTACGAAAACACACCGATAATTCAGCCCGTCGTCCTGTTTTGGTAGTACTTATAGTAACGATGAGGACCATAGTACTGTATATATACAGATGTACAACGAGATTAGAAAGTAGAAATCGGCACAAAACTATTTTCTACTTACGTTGCAAAGACAAACTAACCTAACTTCCTAGGCCTAATATAGTACGCGTGTGCACTATACTAGGCCTAGGAATATTTAAGTTAGTTTTTAGCTTCATTTTTCCAACTCGTTATAAAGTGAATAGTATAAAGTTGCACTATCTAACTGCTTAGAACGGCAATCTTTGTACTTTGGTGCACATAGTTACAAAAACTACTCTCTAAACAGGAGGTTGGGTTGGATAATTACCTTGCCTGACCTTTGTGTCATGCCTTTATATTCTTGTGCAACTGTAGCCAGTTGCACAAGAAGCAGTTAGTAGCAGTTAATGTTGTCCAATGTGCTGAGGCTACGAGAATATATGAAGAGCTATATATATAATTATTAGGGATTTCAGTATGGGTATGTTGTAGCCAGGTGGTATTGGAATGGGTACATTTTATCTTGTTAAATTATGCACTAGATCATGATTTTGTAACCTAGGATATCTCCTTCAATCTTTCTTTCTCTATTCTCATTATTAGTATTATAATACTGTATGTGATATGGGTTAACTTTGTTTTTAAATTTTGGAATTTTTTTTCAAAGGTTAAATTTTATTAATGTTTATTTTTACAGGTACCAGAAGTTGTAAGAAAGAGACAGTACAGAGTGGGTCTTAATCTATTTAACAAAAAGCCAGAACGTGGTGTGACGTATCTTATAGGTCGTGGATTTCTTGAAAATTCTCCACAGGCAGTAGCAAAATTCCTTCTAACTCGGAAGGGTCTTAGTAAACAAATGATTGGAGAATATCTTGGCAATCTTCAGAATAACTTCAATATGGCTGTTCTTGAGTGAGTATATGATTACCTTATTTATATTATACTGTACTTGCAATGTAAAACTACTGTAAATCAGTACAGTACAGTGTACCGTTATATTTTGCTTGAATGGAATGGTTTGTTATGGACCTTCTGTTTTTTTCACTTTGTTATTGTTGAGCAAGGCTTCAATTGCTCTTCTGAGCCATAGCCCAGGATCCATCCATGTCAAAGCTTAATATGCCAGACCCTGAGCAACTTAATGGCCCCATCAGGATATTTTGGCATTTTTCAAATGCCAAAATTTAGGGATTTGAAGAAAGTAACAAAAATAACTTTACCTACTCTAACCAAAAAAAAAAAAAGTATCAGTCATCTTAACATAAATAAAGTGGAAGGTAAAAGCACTAAAGTTAACGTGAATGTGATTGAAAAGATGTGATGTTGCATATTACATTACATATACTACTGTATGTGTGTATATCACGAAAATAAACACGTGATTAAAAATGTGACAGTGTCAGACCACGGAGGAAAATTTAAACAAAAATTTCCTTACGTACTTTCGTATATTAATACATCTTCAGAGGGAGTGAAGATGTATTAATGATGTATTCACTCCTTCTGAAGATGTATTAATATACGAAAGCACTTAAGGAAATTCCTGTTTCAATTTTCCTCCGTGGTCTGACACTGTCGTACTACTGTATTCTCAAAATGGCTCCCACCTCTAATGCCTCTTCTTTATCAACTTACATTTGTGTGTTTTAAATGCAATCAAGACATCCTTGCTATTTTACCCTAAATAAATGAGCAAAATTCATAAAGACTATACTGTAGCCTGACAAGAGTTATTTGATGCAAATTTCCTGTTATAAATAACAAGTGTTGGTGTAGCTGGCCGCCGCCACCTGACATTTTGTTTAGCTGGAGGCCGGGCCACCACTTGAGCCAATCACCCAATTAACTAACTACAGTAATATCAAATAGGTCTATTTAAATTACCGTATGTTGCTGTTGATGTGCCCACACTCGATCCTTTGCCTACTCGCACCCTGTTCATGGCCAGCCCTCCGCCCATCATTATACATTTTGCATTTGCCAGCTATTAGTGTTATAGAAATCGATGATACCTTCCTCGATTAAGTAATATAAAGATAATACAGTATATACAGTATGCCCTTGCCCCACCCATAGCACTACTGTTCAACAAATCTATAGTGTGTCACACCTTCCCTGATATCCTCAAAAAAGCAAGAGTAACGCCAGTCCATAAAGGAGGCAATCCGGCGGACATAAACAATTATAGACCAATATCAAATCTACCCATTCTATCAAAAATATTTGAAAAAATTATTTACAAACAGCTCTATTCCTACCTCGTAAAATTCGACATACTCAGCCCCTGCCAGTTTGGCTTCCGGTCCCAAAAGAGTACCAATGATGCAATCATTAGTCTCCTTGACATTATCTACTCAGCCCTTGACAAAAATGAGTTTCCGATTGGACTCTTCATTAACCTAAGAAAAGCCTTTGATACTGTTAATCACAACTACCTCTTATTTAAACTCCAGCATTATGGAATCCGAGGCCTTGCCCTTGACTACATCCGATCCTATCTTAGTGACAGACACCAATATGTAACCATCAATGATACAACTTCTTCCACTCTACCAATTACCGTTGGAGTGCCACAGGGCAGCATCTTAGGACCTCTTCTATTTCTTATATATATAAACGATCTGCCTAATGTCTCTAATATTCTCAAACCTATATTGTTTGCTGATGATACTACCCTTATCTACTCAAACCTCAACCCACATACACTAAATAATGTTGTGAATAATGAATTAAAAAAAGTCCACTTATGGATGTCAACGAACAAACTAACATTAAACATCGAAAAGACTTACTACATCTTATTTGGAAGCAAATCATCAAATGCAATTCAGCTACAGATAGACAACATTAACATCAGTAATAAAAATGATGGCAAGTTTCTTGGCCTATTCCTAGACAAGAGACTCAACTTCAGCACCCACATTCAACACATAACTAAGTCTCTAAGACAGTTGGTATACTCTCCAAAATCAGATATTATGTTCCTAACTCTGCTCTCCTCTCACTATATTATGCACTAATCTACCCCTATCTTAATTATGGTATCTGTGCATGGGGGTCTACCACTGCAAACCACCTTAAGCCCATCATCACACAGCAAAAATCTGCTATCAGAATAATAACTAACTCTGCTTTCAGACAACACTCAGCTCCCTTGTTTAAATCTCTAAACTTGCTAAATATTAACTCCCTCCACACATTCTCTTGTGTCAACTACATTTACAAAACCCTGTTCTTAAATGCAAACCATGCTCTGAAACTCTCCCTGGACAGATGTAATAGGACCCATTATCACCACACCAGAAATAAATATCTCTTTGATATCCCCAGGGTCAAACTTAATCTGTGTAAACACTCTATGCAAATTAAGGGACCTAGTCTATGGAACTCACTCCCTAGTGAATTGAAAAACTGCAAAACTTTTGCCTTATTTAAAAGCAAAACCAAAAAGTACCTAACTTCATCTATTTAGTTTCCTACACTGAGCTTTAAATTTGCTCTGTACCTAGTGGTACCCAATCTCCTAATTTTTATGTAATATCAAACAACCTTATCATTGTGTTCATTGCTGTCTTCTTTTATGTGCTAGCCATATGCTGTATTGTGACTACCAATTTTTGTCAACTACCATTCAAGCTGTCATTGCAATCAATCTTATATTGTTTCTGCTGTATTGTGCCTACCAATTTGTTGTCAACTACCATTTTAAGCTGTCATTGCAATCAATCATAGCTACCTATGTGCTTTAATATACTGTACCTATAATTTTCTCTCATCTTTTTTTTTTTTTTTCATTCCATGTAATCTGTTATCATTTTTTTGTCTATAAATTTTGCAAGTATTTACCTCCTTAAAATTTTCTTAGATTAAGGACCTGCCCGAAACGCTGCGCGTGCTAGTGGCTTTACAAGACTGTAATTACCATAATTGTATCCTCACATTCCTTATGTACATTCTTGTATATGCATAAATAAATAAATAAATAAATAAATATATTATTATGAATTTTTTAAATGTTACAAAACTATTTGAAAGTGGCTGACGTTTAATATGAAATTTGACTTGCAGGTGTTTTGCTCACGATATTGACCTGTCCGGTATGCAAGTGGATGTTGCCCTAAGAAAATTCCAGACACATTTCCGCATGCCTGGGGAAGCTCAGAAAATCGAACGCCTAATGCAGGTGTTTGCTCAACGGTACTGTCAGTGTAACAGGGATATTGTCGCCAAACTAAGAGATCCTGAAACTATTTTTGTGTTAGCATTTGCTATTATTATGTTGAACACAGATCTTCACACAGCATCCATGAAACAGGAAAAAAGAATGAAAATAGATGATTTTGTTAAGAATTTAAGAGGTAAGTCTAACAAGTTGGGTATTTATAAATATATTACTAACTCCTGTATGCCACAGTAATGTAGTTTTTGTAATGCATTTTTCTTATTGGTTGATATGCTTGATTGCATTTCCCTATGGCTTTGTAGTGTAATGGTGTAAAAATCAGAATTGCTGTAGCATTTGTCTTTTATCTTTAGCAACCTTAATTGATGTTTTCCTTTGGTGTTGTGGCAATAATGACTACTGTTTATGCTCGGTAATCCAAATTACATGGGGCTCCCACCTCCGTTAGTTAGCCAAATTTTGACATGGAAAGTTAAAAAAAATTAAATTTATTTGGGGTTTCATTCAGCATAAATCTCGGTAATACAAATTTTGATTTGTTCAGTAGTCAAAAACTCGCATTCAAAATTATTCAAATTACCCGAAGATTCAGGTTATCGGAATTTGGATTATTGAGCTCTTGCATTATTTGCTGTTGGACATTCTTTAATGCTGTAATGTGTATTAACAATGCTATGCTTGGCTTGCCTTAATGATGAGACTCGCTTATGACTCACTAATGCCTCACTAAGTTGAGGCATTAGTGACGTCTAAATTTAATAAACAATTTTAAAATAATTTTGAGAAACAAAGCCTTACCTTGTTTAAAAGTCAAAGTACTATATTGCAGAAAAACAGTAGAGAACTGCAATGACAGAGTATCTCTTGTGAAATATAGTGTCACGTGTAGTTTTATTTATGCCAAGATGCAACTCTTTAACAGGTATTGATGATGGGTATGATATTGAACGTGAAATGTTGGAAGGAATGTATCAGCGTATCAAGTCACAAGAGTTTCGACCTGGTCATGATCACGTTACTCAAGTTTTAAAGGTAAATATATATATTTAAAAGTAAATATAAAAAGCCTTTGTATTTGCACCTGTTTTCTAGAGAATTCATTTGTGAACATTGACACCAAATATGTAGCAATAGCCAACAAATAACTTGGTGCATAATGATTGTAAACATTTTTATGGGTTGCCGAGCGGGGCCTTGGAAACTCGAAATGTTTATAGTAGGGAACACATGGAAAGGCAGGAAAATGAATATCTTATTCTTTTGAACAATTCATTGTACAACACAGGCTTAGTAAAACATTTCTTAATATTCAAAATACATTTGTATTCATCAGTAGATGAATATTGCAAAATTAAAGTTTTAGAGCAATGTTTTCTTAATTTTTGATGACAGACTGTTCCAGTATATACTAGGCAGTAATGATATTTGTCTGGATGTAATAAAGTATTCTTGTGAATTATCTTAAACATTTTTTTTTGTTACTAATAAGAGATTCATCTGTCTTCAGGTGCAACAGACTATGGTAGGCAAAAAGCCAAATCTAGCACTACCGCATCGTCGACTTGTGTGTTATTGCCGACTATATGAAATTCCTGATATAAGTAAGAAGGAAAGAGTTGGAGTTCACCAGCGAGAAGTCTTCCTTTTTAATGATCTTCTGGTTGTAACCAAAATTTTCTCAAAGAAGAAAAGTTCTGTAACGTACACATTTCGGCAGAGCTTTCCTCTTGCTGGTCTAGCAGTTTCTACTAAGGAAGTGGCACGTGAGTACATGTAGCAACTTATTTAGACTTCAGGATCTTGTACAATAATAACAAAAAAATGTAATGAATAATTATTTTTCTTGAATTTACAATAACTTATTTTATAGCCTTCAGAAGAATTGAATTATGATTAATTTTCAGATTACCCTTATTTAATGGAAATTCGACATCGTGTGGATAATAAGGTTTTGATAATTTTCAATGCACGTAATGAACATGATCGTAGCAAATTTTGTGAAGACCTGAAAGAGAGTGTATGTGAAATGGATGAAATGGAATCTCTGAGAATTGAAGGAGAGCTGGAGAGACAAAAGGCTTCACTAAGAGCATCGAGACCAAGCTCTACAGCCGAGAACCGAGACTCGGGAGTAGCCGATATGGAATTGCTAACGACCAATGAAAAGAATGGAACTCTTAAACCTGATTCTACCTTAAAGAGATCAGCTTTAAGCAATTCCCTACTGGACATCCATGAAGCTGGTGAGTTAATAATTTTCATAAGAAAATTCTGAATTTATGAAAACCCTCTACGTATGTCAAAGAGGTTTTGCATCCTCTTTTTGTTTTTAGTTATTCTTGAAGTATTAATGGATTCATTTATCAGTTTGGCTTAATTTTGCCAAATAACCTTTCATTAAAGTTGATTTTAGTGAATTACCACAACTGCCAAAAAAAAATTATTGCTGCAATAGTGTTTTGTCCTTGTGCTGTAGTGCAGTAAGATTTTTACATTTTAGTTACATTAAAAAAGTATTTCTCTAAATTATACTGTATAATCAATGCTGGGCAACATTAGCTTCAATTAATGATGTCATGACTAGGTACTTTTTATCCAGGTAGCTAGAATTTATTTGATCAATGTATTATGTGGGAGAGTTTTAAGAAAACTAATGCATAAGGTTGAATGATAGAAAAATGAATAAAATTTCTGCAGATTACCTTTCCCTTTTAAAGCTTAACTTTGACTTTAGATTATATCGTCTTATACGTACCCTTCCATATATACGTCGTAGGGTGACAACTCTTTTTAACACATTATAATAAATCCAAATACATTAAGGGACATTACTTTGAAGATAAGAAAATCCCAAAGGCAAGATATTTCAAGATGTCTTGCCTCCTTCACCTTCTGTATTATGAAAAAATGCAGGAACATGAAAGGCCAGTTCACATTGGTAAAGGAAATTATATTAATAGAAAGTTAGAAACCAATATCCCATGATTTAACTATTTCCCTTACATGTGCCTTTTTCACGTCCTCATTCTTTTGAGCACATAGTTTTCCCTAAGCTATATGATGTAATGACATACAGGTCTTAGACCTGTATATTTTGAGATGTTCCTCTGGTTATGAGGATGTTCCTCTGATGTCATAATGTTATAATGGAATGAGGAATATTCCTCATTTGACCCCCTACAAAATGAAGGAAATTCCTGTATAAAAACTGAATCTAGACAAGGGTATAAAAAATTAGCCTGGCTAGTTTGAAGGGAAGGGAACTAGAAGAGAGCACCAAGTCATTACGACTATATAACACCTGGAAGGGATAAGGATATGGTATGAGACGGGGGGGGGAAAAGGAATGGTGTCCAACCACTTGGAAGGTCTGGGTCTGAACGCTGATCTGCATCAAGAGAGCGAGTCATATTTTCCGCCCAGCTCAAGTGGTTGGTCACCTGGCTAGTTTTAATGTCTATTCTTTATTTGTCTTGTGACCATAAATTGCCTGTGATATATACAATATCTTGAGCATTTATAAGAACCGAGTGTTTGGTAGTTACTTAATTGAAGTCTTTAGACAAAATTTAAAAGGAAATTTATACCAACAAAAACAGATTTAATTAGACGAGTGTTGCCCAGTACCTACTATCAGTTAAATCATCATACTGTAGATTATTTCATGCAGCTTTTACTTAGCTTCAACTTAGGAATTATTTTACCTTGACTAAAATTTGCTCCCAATGCACTTGTGTTGCACACCTCCCTCACCAAAGCCACATTACCACTGCACCACCCCACTGTAATGTATGTAGCATCATCTTCACAGTATCTTGTGTGGAAAGTAGACATTTGCACATCTTGATCACGTTTGCACAACCTTTTATTTAGCTTGTTGTATTTGCCAAATTAATTGAGAAGTATCTGCTGTACAGTATACAGTATAGTATTTGACATTCTCACACAATACAAAATGCTGAAAATTAATGCATATATACAGTATATTTTTTAGTACATTTTGAATTGACATACTGTAACAATATTGATTGCTGTTTCAACAATAATGTGCAATTGAAGTCAAAAGATTAAAATTAAAACCTGAGCCATTTGGGTTTAAATAATATAAATTTGAGGTGGTGAAAGTGGTGGTGTGGTTCACAGAGGGTGTTGGGCAGACAGTGCGTCGGGGCAGTGTGGGCTCCCTCGACTCTGGCATGTCTGTGTCCTTCCAGTCCACTAGTGCCTCCAATGATACTTCTCCTGCGAGTGGTCCTTCTGGGGGCATTCATCAATCCCTCATGTCCAGTGCCTCCCATGGAGACCTCCAGCATCACCTACAACGACGTACAATGGCCTCCAATTCTTCCTTCCTCGGTCAGCTGTTTCGTCCACGTAGAGTTTCACGCACTGAACTAAACACAACTGGAGTGGAGGTGTGACAGTTCACAAGCATCCTCATGTTTCATCTTCCACGCAAGGAATAGATGATCTTGGGCAAAGTCAGGTTGTATCTAGCCATATTCTAGTCTTTCAAGTGTACACACACATGCATTCCAAATGGATCAGTGAAGATGAAGCTGCCCAGACCATCTGTTCTGTAACTTGCCCTGCGTACCTCATACCATGTATGTGTGCAAAGGCATTGGTACTTATGTAAGTAGTAGCAATGGTTAAAACCAAACAAATTATACAGTGCCATTTAGTCAGATGTAGTCACACATATATAATCTTGTGTAAAATATGATGTATATAAGTCATGTTGAAATAATGTGTGTAATATATACCTAATCCCAGTTAACGAATATAACCAGAACTATGACCTTTCTGTCTCCAGGCATTTTAGCATTAGCAACTGCTAGTCTAAAGATATCAGGATTTCAGAAGATATCCAGAAAATAGTTATAATTTTATTCAATGTAATGTGTGCACAACAGTTAATAATACAAATAGCAAGATACAGTTTAGTTTAATATAAACTGTATACTTCCCTGTGGAATTGACCTCTAGTCAGCACACAGATAATTGTCATATCTGATGCTTCTAGGCAGATTGTTGAACTGGCTTACTTTTGTGCAGTGTACCAGATTACCGATATTACTATAAAACAAACTCACTTATAACTTTGTACATACGGGATATATTGTTATAATTTTGTCAGCTTGATAATACAGGCTGTCTTTCTATGACAAATAAAGACTATAAAACAATGTTACCTTTTTTAAACCTGTTATATACTATATACAGTATATTTAGAATACTGTATATAGACATATGTACACACAATGTGTGTGTGTACAGTTGATGAGTTGCAATAACATGATTGTAGATATGATGACCAAACCACCCTTCAAGAAATGATGATTTGTCCATCCTGGCACATTATCGAATGTGATAGGAGAGAGGAAGTTATGGGTAAATAAGGAATGAGAAGCAGGTAAGAGTAAGGTGAAAGATAATAGGATGAAAGGTAAGAATGGGATGAGGTAATACTAAGAGGAAGGTAAGAAAAATGATTAGGCTAAAATCACATCATGTTTATGAAGGTTGGAGCATTTACAATACAATTTTATTTAGGTAAGGTACATACATACAATAAATTTTTACAAGGATTGGTTGACTTATAGGTAGAGCTAGTACATACAATGCCTAAAGCCACTATTACGCAAAGCGTTTCGGGCATTTAAGTATGTACTGTGAAAAGGAAGTAAACGGCAACAAAGCGAAGACTAAGGTTCATGTTGGGTATGTTGTGTGTATCAGAGCCAATTCGACAGACGTCTGAAGAGAAGCAGGAAACATTATTTTAGGAAACCAGTCTATAGGATGATGAGAATCCCTAACATGACAAAAGAGTATTGTTTGTGTCTGCAGACTTAACACTTCTTTTGGATTCCTTAAATCTGTCATTTGGTGTACAGCCAGTTTCACCCAAGTATTGGGTGAAGATGTAGAGGAAATGGAGTAGACACCAGCAGAAGTGTAACCCAGATTATTACAAAGTGTTAGTTTGTCGAAAGGCGAGTTTTACATCAAGAGGACGAAGGGTATTAGCGAGACTTTTAGAGTTCGGATATGAAGGGAAGGCAGAGCAGTGTTGCTAGTGTTGAAAACAACAATAGGGATGAAAACTGTTTCATCCCATGGATATCCCTTACATTTTATCAACTGTATCCATCCTGTTTGCAGTAGTGTACCCCTTAGACATTAGAAAGTCACCTCGTTTTCTAAAACCTTTAATACAACCTCTTCTCAAAGTTTTTTAAAGCATATACTATTGTATATAATGTTTGGCAAAAGCATCATTACCACTGCACCTGTTATTGGGATACCATAGTACTTGTCACATAGTGCTTATAGTTACTATGCTGCTAATGTTCAGTTTTTCTGTGGTAGATTTTGTTATAAGCTATCACCAGGCACCAACCTTTCCTCGCGTCCCATAGTACCCATCCCATCACCGTGGACACCAGAATAGTCTATTTGCTCAAATTTTCACGATAGTCATTTTCCATTCCCACTTCTGGCGTACTCATCTAGTTGTGCTTATAGGTTGAGCTCTCTGGCTCTTTGGTCCCGGCTCTCGACTATCAATCGACTAATGTACAGATTCCCGAGCCTACTTGGCTCTCTCATATCTACATTTGAAACTGTGTATGGAGTCGGCCTCCACCACATCACTGCCAAGTGCATTCTATCGGTTTACTCTGACACTGAAAAAGTTCTTTCTAATGTCTGTGGCTCATTTGGGTACTCAATTTTCACCTGTCTTCCCTTGTTTGTGTCCCCACCTGTGTTGAACACACTTTATCTACCCCTGTCAATTCCTGAGAATTTTATAGGTAGTGATCATGTCTCCCCAATCTTTATCGTTTTCCAGTGTTGTGAGGTTCAGTTCCAGCAATCTTTCCTTGTAGCTCATACCTCTCGGCTCCATGACTAGCTTGGTGGCATACCTCTGAACCTTTTCTAACTTCGTTTTGTGTTTGACTAGATGTGGACTCCATAGACTGGAGCTGCAAACTCCAGTATTGGTTATTAACATAACACCCTCAGAATGGGTATGGGGTCCAAACCCCCCCCCCCATGGGATGGTAATAGGGACCATAAAACCCATAGAAAGGGGTACGGGGAACATAACCCCCCCCCCCCCCACAGGATGGTAATAGGGACCATAGCACCCACAGAATGGGTATGGGGTCCACAACCTCCCCCCTCCTCCCAACAGGATGGTAATACGGACAATAGCACCCACAGAATGGGTATGGGGTCCACAATATCCCCCCCCCCCAAAGGATGGTAATAGGGCCCATAACACCCTGTTATAACATTGATAAACTACAAACAGATATTAACAAAGTTTTCAATTGGGCAGCAGAAAATAACATGATGTTTAATGGTGATAAATTCCAGGTACTCGGGTACGGCAAAAATGAGGATCTTAAACATAACACAGGGTACAAAACACAATCGAATCTGTCCATAGTAGGAAAACAGCATGTCAAGGATTTGGGAATAATGATGTCCGACGACCTAACGTTTAGGAAGCATAAACAAGCAAGTATTGCGTCAGCCAGAAAAATGATAGGAGGGATTACGAGAACCTTAAAGTCGAGATATCCCATCACAATGGTTGTACTCCTCAAATCACTTGTGTTGACCCGTCTTTAGTACTGCTCAGTACTCACTTTCCCCTTCAGAGCAGGAGAGATTGCTGAAATCGAGGGAATACAGAGAACATATGGGGCACGCATAGACGAGAGAAAGCACCTAAATTATTGGGATCGTCTCAAAGCTCTGCAAATGTACTCATTAGAAAGGAGACGAGAGAGATGCCAAATAATATACACATGGAAAATACTGGAGGGAGAGGTCCTAAATCTGCCCGTTAAAATAACAATGTACTGGAGTGAACGACATGAAAGAAAATGCAGAATAGAACCAGTGAAGAGCAGAGGTGCCATAGGCACAATCGGAAAACACTAAGAACATCAGAGGTCCACAGTTGTTCAATGTCCTACCAGCGAGCATCAGAAATATTACAGGAACAACCGTGGACATCTTCAAGAGGAAATTAGATTGTTTCCTTCAAGGAGTGCCGGACCAACCGGGCTGTGGTGGGTATGTGGACCTGCGAGCCGCTCCAAGCAACAGCCTCGTGGACCAAACTCTCACAAGTCAAGTCTAGCCTCGGGCTGGGCTTGGGGACTAGAATTCCTCCCAGAACCCCATCAACCAGGTAACCAGGTATCAACCCACAGAATGGGTATGGGTTCCACAACCTCCCCCACAGGATGGTAATAGGGACCATAACACCCACCAACCCGTTCTCGCAAATTCGTAAAGTCAATATTGACTTATTAAATATGTGCATAGGTGATATACTAAACATAATAGATACCCTTAAAAAGATTCATAGAAAACACCGACCTTACCTAACCTTGTTAGTATCTTAAGATAAGCATCTTATTGCTTCGTAATTACAATTATTACTTAACCTATACCTATTATAGGTTAGGTAATAATTGTAATTACGAAGCAATAAGATGCTTATCTTAAGATACTAACAAGGTTAGGTAAGGTCGGTGTTTTCTATGAATCTTTTTAAGGGTATCTATTATGTTAAGTATGTCACCTATGCACATATTTAATAAGTCAATATTGACTTATTAAATTTGCGAGAACGGGTATCGGGTCCACAACCTCCCCCACAGGATGGTAATAGGGATCATAGCACCCACAGAATGGGTATAGGGTTCACCCCCCCCCCCACAGGATGATAATAGGGGCCATAGCAGCCACATTATGGGTAAGTGGACCCCATACTCATCCAACAGTTGGTAGTGAACCCATTAACATCCTGCGGGTGATAAATGACCCCATACCCATCCTGTGGGCGGTGGTGGACTCAATACTAATCCTGTGGGCGGTACTGGACCCTATACCCATCCGGTCGATGGTAGTGGGGCTCCATACCCATCCTGTGGGGTGGTAGTGGACCCCATACCCATCCTAGGGGGTGGTAATGGACCCCATACCCATCCTAGGGGGTGGTAATGGACCCCATACCCATCCTAGGGGTGGTAATGGACCCCATACCCATCCTAGGGGGTGGTAATGGACCCCATACCCATCCTAGGGGGTGGTAATGGACCCCATACCCATCCTAGGGATGGTAATGGACCCCATACCCATTCTAGGGGTGGTAATGGACCCCATACTCATCCAACAGTTGGTAGTGTACTCAATTAACATCCTACAGGTGATAGTAGACCCCATACCCATCCTACAGGTGGCAGTAAACCCCCCATACACATCGAGTAACTACTTGTTTTGGACCCTATATCCATCCTGAGGATACACTGGCAGTGTTGAAGGCAGCAATGTTCAGTGTACAGGTTCCCAAGTAGGAAGACTTGAGAGGCATCAACATCAGAGGCTCTAGTGTCACGTGACAGACTTGTCGTAGTGAGAGACAATGTCGTGTTGTGTTATCCCGTCGTTGTAGATGTTCTTTAGTTCCCCGAGACGGTCTTCGTTGCCTCCTTTACTGTCTGGCTGTGGTCGTCTGAGGTGGAGGTAAGACAGTTATAAGCTTAGAAATCTCAAGGTAAACATACAGGCAGGACTGAAGAGATTGGAGCTGTAGAGGGCGTGTAGGAAGGAGCTGGGAACCGCCTCGTTCTTGACTGACGGACGATTACAACTTCACTGGCGATTCTGTTGCAAATGTTGCTCCGTTGTTCTGTTGCAAGTTACAATAGAATGTTGTATTTGGTTTAAGAATTAGATTTTGAAATTAAAAACTTCAAACATTTAAGCTGGGGATCATTATTGGTTCAGTAGAGACGCGTTCGTAATTTGGGGAAGTGAAGGAGTGGCTGTTGGCCATTGTTAATTGACACTTCAGACTCGCAAAATGTTAACCAATGGGGGGTGAGTTTTAGGGTAAATGTCAACCAATCAGCGGCCGGGTTTGGAGGGCTGCCGGGTATAAAGGTGACGATGAGACAAAATGCACTTCAGTGTGTTTTACCTCACTTTTGGTATACAGTTCCAGCTTCGTCTCTTTTAGCTGAGCTGAGCTGTATGTGGGGGATCTCCTCCCCCCTCCCTTTCCCTCCCTTCCTCCCCCACCCACTTGCTGCGTCTCCCTCCCCCACCCACTTGCTGCGTCCCCCTCCCTTTCCCTCCCCCACCCACTTGCTGC